GTTTAAAAATCCTAAATGCATGCCCCTTTCAGAGAACCAAACACCAATGGGTGAAAGGTGATCAATGTGTTAGCCCGTATTTGTTGTGCAGTTGGTGCATTCGGTTACGTTCAGCCTAGGCACAGCTGTTACAGTTGGTTGCTGCTGATCGATACCATTTTTCGCCTGCGCTGTTCAACATAAAATTGCTTACCTTTGCAGGGAAAAACCAGAAGAACATGTTGGAATTGTACTCTTCATTGACCGTAAGGTAGCCAGCATAGCTCTCAACATCTGTCCCGGCCAAACCTCGCACCTGCGGTCAGCGCATTCGGGGATGCTATCACGTGTTCACCACGTTTAATGCCATGAGTTAGCATTCGGTCCATAAGTAGGCTTTAAGCTATCTGAATCTGTTGTCATGGTCAGAGCTGTAACATATGTGCAAAAGGTATCTCGTTACCCAGGAATCAGACTGACCAAAAAGTCGTTTTCGAGTCAAATTTGTAAGAAATTGCTGCTCTGTTGTCTTATCTTAGTATATATATATATATATATATATATATATATATATATATATATACATATACACATATCATTATATTATTTTATATCTTATATCCATTGTTATATATATATATGCTACTTTTATTGTTATATTTTATTCTTCTTCTTCATCAGTCGTTTTCCATATCCAGCTCAATCAGGGGCCGAACTACCGCTAAGCGCTTCAGAAGTTGCGCCTAACACAGCTTAACCATAGCATAATTGATTTTGGATCTAATTTTGTTAATCGGGGTTGTGCCCAACGTCACCAGGGGCATAGCTAGGGCGAAAAGAGGGGGTTAAATTGGTCGAAATTGTGTGACGACCTCTTTTATGTGCTTAGCGTTGCATTTTCACTTTCCGACCGAAACAAGGCAGTCATTTAGCCGCTTACCTTGCTGAGGTTTCTTCCTTTCTCCAGCTCGCCGGCCTGGATGTAAGGCGTCAGGAAGAGGGCCTCATCGGTTCGTGCCGCCACCCCCCACCGGGTCTTCTCCGCGAATTGGCGGCCGAGGGGGGAGCGAAGTCCCTCGGTGGCAACGACCAGCACCAGCACGGCAGCCACTAGCATCCTGACCAGCTGCCGCAGGCGTCTGCACGCTGCCCTGCGCGAAACAGTGTCAGCCACTGCCGCCATCTACGCACGCCGTGCCACCGTGAGCGCCGTTCGAGAAGGCTGGCTCATGCGCTGTGTGAGAACGCGTGCAGTATGGGCTGTGGCGTGCGCCAGGCTTGCACCGGACTCGCCACTGGCAGCCAGCGAAAGGTCACGACAATCCGAAGACGGACGATTCAATGGCACTTCTGGTGAATGACACTGATTTATTCAATGACACTTGACACTGATTCAATTTGACACACTTGACACTGATACTAGATACTCACGACATGACACTCACTGACTCAATTTGGCACACTTGACACACTTGACACTGGTTAATGAAACCGATTCTGATTCAGCGACACTTCTGATGCCGACGCGTGTCAGCAGCATGTTGTGATCTCCGTGAATTGTGCATGACACAATTTGCGTAGTATTACGTAATTATTTATCACGTAATTATATCGCGAAGTAGGGCAATACTAAAAATGACGATCAAAATTGCAGTGCTGCTTACACATCGCCAAAAAGCGATAGTGAACCATCCCATCTGACCGAATTCTGTTCACGTCAGACATTGGCGCTCGATATCTCGTATCCTCACGGGCCCATCCGCGCGGAGGATATCTCCATGTCCATCCGCACGGAAGATATTTCCATGTCTGTCCGCATGGAAGATATCTCCATGCCTGTCCGCACGGAAGTCCGCCATACTTTAGCTCACCGTTACAGCACTGTCGTCACCAAGTCAACCTTGGGGGGCCTCTGCCAGGCGCGGGATAGCGCCCTTGTCAGCCGGCACCCCTTTATATACACAGCGTGGCGCCGTAACCGCATGACCGGCACCAGATGTGCCGCGCTCGGACGCGCGCACAACAGTGGCGAGACACCGGCTGTTGGCGGCACACGCTCTGTCCGCGGAGATATCGCGTGCACGGCGGCAGAGAATAGCAGCACAGTCAGTGATGTGTGCTGTTTGGACCGTGCTTCACACCCAACTCATGGCAACTGATAACTGACTGCTGGCTTTGTCTCCGCATTGAATGCTATATCCGCAATTGTGCACCTTCGGTGTGTCGCTGAAAAGTGGCTCATACAGGCATCGGTGGGTTTGTGCAATGTGTTTGAAAAAGCCTTGAATTTCCGGATGTATTCATTGCTAACAGAAAAATGCAAACAAGATTTTAATGAGGTGTAAAGCTGTTCATTCATATTCCATTTTAAAAAGCATTAAGTATTGCAAAGAGAGAAACACTTTCGCATGCAGCTTCATATGATTTTTTCATTAAGCTGTATGTTTTTGTCTTCTTAAAGCTATCTTCACATATTGCAGATGTCCGCAAGATTGCCTGCATTCGTTTTTCTCAAGCTTGCCTTACTGGTCTACGCTTCTCGAGGTATTTTCCTGTGGAGTGATGAGATAAGAGACAAACAAATCGGAGGAGACGCGCAGCAACCCGTTGCGTGCAAATACAGTTAGAGGACACAACAACAAAGAAATCACGACAGGCAAGATAGCGACACTAGGTTTTAAGTTCTAAAACAATATGCATCCAAACAACTGTCCACACAGCACCGTGTGTGTCAACACTCTCCTTCAAGTTGACTATGAGACTACAAATAAGCTTAACACATGTGGATCACATGAAGCTCGGTATTTTCAATATTTTCATAAAGAGAGGTTGTTTGTTCAGGGAAACATCGATAAAATCTTCAAAAACAAAGGCGACGAGCAGACGGGGCTACAGATCGGTACTAGTCGTAGGAACATACGACTACCCGTGCGAGCGTACGCCCAGACTAGTTTCATATAAATACGGCGTCACGCGACACGAAGACAAATACGCTAAAACGTGAAAGTTGCCTGTCTTTCGGTATCCGCCTGCATCCCATTGTCTTTATCGGACAGAAAAGCGTATTTTTGCATATGTGGCCGCAACCTGGGTTGTATTCCACCTACAGCCATTGCTGTTATTTCATGGAGCCGCCCAGACCCCTGTACCGCACGTGCGGTGCAGCGCTCCGCTAAGGAGTGAGGCGGAGAGTCCTGTGCGATGCATGTGGCATGTTTTTTTATAGGATAATGCTGTTTGGAACGCATCTCGGAAACTTTCATGGATTCTATCCAATATCCAGCATTGCGAATGTCATCATGATAAACCTTCACTGAGCAATACGTTCAGCGACAAACAGAAAGAATTGTTCTGAAATCCCATCAATACCTCACTTGCGTTAACCGCCAGCATCCGACAAAATTGAACACCTTGTATGACGGCTCCAGCGCGCCCTTGCACACCAGACACCCAGATGCATACCAGTGCCGACAGGGTTGTCAATATAGAGCATGTTGTGCGTGTTGACCCAGGTGAGGTCGTGAGGCAACAGCTTCAGGTCATGGTCCACGTTGAATGGGCCATGCTCGACGAACAGCCCAAACATGCTGCTGCCGCCGGGACCACCCTGAAGCCACAGCACGACGGGCGCCTCTGCCGGGTTCTCCTGAGGTCAGAGTCGGCGTGAGCCGGCGGGCACGGGACAGCTCAAAGGGGTCATGGACATGTCGGCCCTGGCCTGTTCAACGACCTCTCTGAAACAGATGGTCAAGCAAATGCATGGTATGCATGAAAAAAGCTGTGAAATTTTGCAACACGACTGATGTAGAAAGCATTTGCCAGTTCTGGCCGATACGTTGGAAGGTTTAAAAATCCTAACTGCGGGTTGTACATTGATCACCTTGCACCCAGTGGTGTTTGGTTTCGTTGAAAGCGGCACGCATTTAGGATTGTTAAGCCTTCCAACTCAGTCCGATGCAAGCCTGGCGCCCACCACAGCCCATACTGCACACGTTCTCACACAGCGCATGAGCTAGCCTTCTCGAACGGCGCTCACGGTGGCACGGCGTGTGTAGATGGCGGCAGTGGCTGACACTGTTTCGCGCAGGGCAGTGTGCAGACGCCTGCGGCAGCTGGTCAGGATGCTGGTGGCTGCCGTGCTGGTGCTGGTCGTCGCCGCCGAGGGACTTCGCCCCCCCTCGGCCGCCAATTCGCGGAGAAGACCCGGTGGGGGGTGGCGGCACGAACCGATGAGGCCCTCTTCCTGACGCCTTACATCCAGGCCGGCGAGCTGGAGAAAGGAAGAAACCTCAGCAAGGTAAGCGGCTAAATGACTGCCTTGGTTCGGTCGGAAAGTGACAGTGCAACGCTAACCACATAAAAGTGGTCGTCACATAATTTGGGCCATTTAAACCCCTCTCTTCCCCTAGCTGCGCCCCTTTTGACGTTGGGCAAAACCCCCGATTAACAAAATTGGATCCAAAATCATGTACGCTCTGGTTAAGCTGTGTTAGGTGCAATGTCTGAAACACTTAGCGGTATTCGGCCCGTGATTAAGATGGATGTGCAAAACAAACAGCAAATAAGAATAATAAAATATATCCCTCAAAATAACATTATATTAAATATGTAATACTAATATATATAATATTCATAATAATAAAACAAATGATATGTGATAAAGTTATTTGCCAGGAGAGAAAGACAGCGGTAGCAGCATAAATGTGTCGATTTGGTTGGGATCTTAGAATACCTGAGTGTGACGTTTCGCTTGTCAAGATCTCGTGCCCTTTCCCTTGTTCAAGGACGGACTCAAACGGTTTGCGGTAACGTCCTAACACGCTGTTTTACAACTGAGTGTGAGTGTTAGGACTTTTTGTGTTTGTGTTTTGAGGGATTGAGTGATAATGTCCTCCGTGGAAATCGATCGACCGTTTCCAAAACTGTCTGATGTCATTATTGATTCAAAGATAAAAAGACTCCGATAAAACGTGGCATTTACTCCCATTAAATCATGAACATTAGAAACATGGGCACATGTGTGTTCTGTTTTCCGCCATAACGGTAGTGAATAAATCACTGCCAAAAAGAAAGTGTCACCATTGCCAGTATTCCCCTATTGGGTACGTCCTCAAACCAAAGGTTGTATGATCATCAAAGCGTAGAAAACATCGCGATAAAAAGAAGCGTTTCAATTCTGCTTATCATTTATCAAATCATATATGTATGTATATATATATATATATATATATATATATATATGCATATGTACACATATACATATACAAAGATAAGACAACAGAGCAGCAATTTTTTACAAGTTTGACTTGAAAACTATTTTTTGGTCGGTCTGATTCATGGGAAACGACATAGCTTTTGCACATATGCTACAGCTCAAACCATGACAACAGATTCAGATAGCTTAAAGCCTACCTATAGACCGAATGTTAACTCATGGCATTAAACGTGGTGAACGTGTGACAGCATCCCCGAATGCACTGACCTCAGATGCGAGGTTTGGCCGGGACAGATGTTGAGAGCTATATTGGCTACCTCACGGTCAATGAAGAGTACAACTCCGACATGTTCTTCTGGTTTTTCCCTGCAAAGGTAAGCAATCTTATGTTGAGCAGAGCAGGCGAAAAATGGCATCGATCAACGACAAACAACTGTAACAGCTGTGCCTGGGCTGAACGTGCCGAAAGCACAGCAAATGCGGGCTATTGGCACTGGTATATGTGGCCATTGATCACCTTTCATCCAGTGGTGTTTGGTTTCCTTGAAAGGGGCACGCATTTAGGATTTTTAAGCCTTTCAACGTATCGGCCAAAATGCGTGCCCCTTTCAACGAAACCAAACACTACTGAGTAAAGGTGATCAATGTATAACCCGCAGTTAGGATTTTTAAGCCCTCCAACGTATCGACCAAAACTTGCAAATGCTTTCTACATCAGTCGTGTTGCAAAATTGCACAGCTTTTTTCATACATACCATGCATTTGCTTGACCATGCGTCTCAGAGAGGTCGTTGAACAGGCCAGGGCCGACGTGTCCATGACCCCTTTGAGCTGTCCCGTGCCCGCCGGCTCACGCCGACTCTGACCCCAGGAGAACCCGGCAGAGGCGCCCGTCGTGCTGTGGCTTCAGGGTGGTCCCGGCGGCAGCAGCATGTTCGGGCTGTTGGTCGAGCATGGTCCCATTCAATGTGGACAATGACCTGAAGCTGGTGCCTCGCGACCTCACCTGGGTCAACACGCACAACATGCTCTATATTGACAATCCTGTCGGCACTGGTATGCATCTGGGTGTCAGGTGTGCGAGAGTGCGCTGGAACCGCCATACAAGGTGTTCAGTTTTGTGGCATGCCGGTGGTTAACGCAAGTGAGGTCACCCGAGACACCCAAGATTGGTGGGATTGCAGAACATTTTTCTGCTTGTTGCTGAACGCATTGTTCAGTGAAAGTATATCATGGTGGCATTCGCAATGTTGGCAATTGGATAGAATCCATGAACCTTTTCCGAGATGCGTTCCGAAACAGCATTATTCTATGAAAAGCATGCCAAAAGCATCGCATACGCCTACAGTCACTCATCATCAGGGAGCACACCGCCATATTCATCATAGTTCGTCGGCGTTCGATGACACGCTTACTAAACTTGGGTAGAATGTAGGGTGAGCACGTTCTTGTGGATCCTTTAGGTTTCCGGGGCTTTTCAGAACTTACTTCAGAAAATTCCTCGCAAGCCACAGTGAGCACGCAACCTACATAATTTCTGTAATTTCCCACTTCCAGCTCTCTCACCTGGGACCGATTCGTTGTCATGGTGACCGGCAACCGACCAAACACAATTTTCCAGGGTTCAGCTTTACCGAGGATGACGAAGGCTACGCCACAAATGAGGAAGACGTCGTCAAAGACCTTCATTCAGCACTCAACCAGTTCTTCACCCTTTTCGAGAATTACCAGTCCAACAACTTCTACGTCGCAGGGGAACCATACGGCGGTACTGGACCTATGACACCTCGTGCCCCATCCCAACATCTTGTAATGCAACGCGTGAGTAACTGCGTGGCCAATGGACGGTTTAAAAATGTATTGTTGTGGATCAATGCAGCACTTAAGTACTTCCCCTCTAGTCCTTCATGCTCAAACTATTTCCGAATTATGATATTATATAGACACATGAAAAATGGGCTCCGATTCTTCCAGCACAGGACACGCCGCCGTATTGCTCAGCGGAACGCTGCACAACACGAGCGGTACAGGAGGTCTGGGCAGGGAAAAACCAGAAGAACATGTTTGAGTTGTACTCTTCATTGACCGTAAGGTAGCCAGCATAGCTCTCAACATTTATCCCGGCCAAACCTCGCACCTACAGTCAGTGCATTCGGGGATGCTATCACACGTTCACCACGTGTTATCCCATGAGTTGGCATTCGGTCCATAAGTAGGCTTTAAGCTTTTTGAATCTGTTGTCATGGTTAGAGCTGTAACATATGCGCAAAAGCTATCTCGTTACCCAGGAATCAGACCGACCAAAAACTCGCTTTCGAATCAAACTTGTACAAAATTGCTGCTTTCTCGTCTTATCTTAGTATGTGTATATGTGTACATATGTATATAGATATAGATATAGATATAGATATAGATATAGATATATATATATAGATGCATATATATAGATATATGTATGTATGTATATATATATATATATATATATATATATATATATATATGATGTGATGCATGATAAGCAGAACTGAAATGCTTTTCATTCCGATTTTTTCTACGCTTTGATAATCATACAACTTTTGGTTTGAGGACGGACCCAATAGGAGGATACCGGCAATGGTGGCACTTCCTTCTTGGCAGCGATTTAGTCCTTACCGTTACGGCGGAAAACAGAGCACACATGTGCCCATGTTTCTAATGTTCGTGATTTCATGAGATTGAATGCCTTGTTTTTTGGAGTCTTTTTATCGTTGAAGGAAAGATGACATCACACAGTTTTTGAAACGGTCGATCGATTTCAGCGGAGGATATTATCACTAAATCCTTCAAAACACAAACATAAAAAGTTCTAACACGTATTCTCAGTTGTGCAACAGCGTGGTATTACGCCACCGCAAACTGTTTGAGTCCGTCCGTAAACAAGGGAGAGGGCACGAGATCTTGGCGAGCGTAGCGTTACACTCAGGTATGCTAACATCGCAACCAAATCGACACCTTTATGCTGCTACCGCTGGCTTTCTCTTCTGGCAAATAACTTTATTATTTATTACTTGGTTTCGTATTATTGATATTAGATATGTACTATGTTATTCTATATCTTATATTCATTCTTGTATATATATATATATTATTGTTTTTATTGTTCTATTTTGATATTCTCATTAATCAATTGTTTTGCATATCCGGCTTAATCACGGACCAAACTACCGCTAAGTGGTTCAGACGTTGCGCCTAGCTTACTAGCTACAGCTTAACCATAGCATAATTAATTTGGGATCTAATCTTGTTAATCGGGGTTGTGCCCAACGTAACCAGGGGCGTAGCTAGAGCGAAGAGAGGGGGTTAAAATGGTCGAAATTGTGTGACGGCCTCTTTTATATGGTTAGCGTTGCATTTCAACTTTCCGACCGAACCAAGGCGGTCGAAGATAGCCGTTTACCCTGCTGAGGTTTCTTCCTTCCTCCAGCTCGCCGGCCTGGATGTAATGATTCCACTGATTCAATGACACTGATTCTGATTCAGTGACACTTCAGATACTGACGTGTGTCAGCAGCATGTTGTGATCTACGTGAATTGTGCATGATACAATTTGCGTAGTATTACGTAATTATTAATCGCGTAATTACATCGCGATGTAGCGCAATACCGAACATGACGATCAAAACTGTAGTGCTGCTTACATATCAGCAAAAAGCGGAAGTGAACCATTCCATCTGACCGAATTGTGTTCATGTCAGGCATTGGCGCTCGATATCTCCTATCCGCAAGGGCCCATCCGCACGGAAGATATCTCCATGTCCATCCGCACGGAAGATATCTCCATGTCTGTCCGCACGGAAGTCCGCCATACTTAAGCTCACCGTTACAGCACTGTCGCACCAGGCCAACCTTGGGGGGCCTCTGCCAGGCGCGGGAAAGCGCCCTTGTCAACCGACACCCCTTTATATACACAGCGTAGCGCCGTACCCACATGACTGGCACCAGTTGTGCCGCGCTCGGACGCGCGTGCAACAGTGGCGAGGCACCGGCTGTTGGTGGCCCACCTTCTGTCTGCGGCAGATATCGCGTGCACGGCGGCAGAGAACAGCAGCACAGTCAGTGATGTGTGCTGCTTTGTACTGTGCTCCACATCCAACTCAAGACAACTGATAACTGACTGCTGGCTTTGTCTCCGCTTTGAATGTTGTATCCGCTGTTGTGTGTCTTTGGCGGGTCGCTGAGAAGTGGCTCATACAGGCATCGGTGGGTTTGTGTAATGTGTTTGAAAAAGCCTTGAATTCCCGGATGTATGAATTGTAAACAGAAAAATGCAAACATGGTTTTATTGAGTTATGAACCTGCTCATTCACATCAAAGCTGTTCATTCCCAAAAAAGCATCAAGTATTGCAAAGAGAGAACTCCGCATGCAGCTTTCACGTGACTTTTTCATTAAGATGTATGTTTTTGTCTTCTTAAAGCTATCTTCACATATTGCAGATGTCCGCAAGATTGCCTGCATTCGTTTTTTTTTCAAGCTTGCCTTACTGGTCTACGCTTCTCGAGGTATTTTCCTGTGGAGTGATGAGATAAGAGACAAACAAATCGGAGGAGACGCGCAGCAACCCGTTGCGTGCAAATACATTTAGAGGACAAAACAACAAAGAAATCCCGACAGGCAAGATAACGATGCTAGATCTTAAATTATAAAACAACATGCTTCCAAACAACTGTCCGCACTGCACCGTGTGCGCCAACACTCTCCTTCAGCTTGACGATGAGACTACGAATAACCCTAGCACATATGGATCACATGAAGCTCGGTATTTTCAATATTTTCATAAAGACAGGTTGTTTGGTCAGGGAAACACCACTAAAATCGGCAATTACAAAGGCGGTAAGCAGACGGGACTACAGATCGGTACGCGTATCATATATGACGGGTAGGTCAGCACCAGGTCATGTTTTCGGGGCCCGTAAGGCCGAGCGGCTGAGTCACAGGCCGCGTCCCACCACCAATCGCATTCTTGGGAGACTTGGCTTCATGGTTTCCTCTTTTGGTGACACCGCAGGGTGTTGCGACATGCCGTCTTTGTGATGGGCAGGCGCAGGTTCCACTTTTTCGAGGCTGGGTAGAGCGGAGGCCGCTGAGGTCGCGTTCCCCCAGGCTATGGCAAAAGTCAGACGCTGACAGAGCCAACCGCTCTCTCATGTATCACCCGACGAAGAAATCGGCCCAGCGCAAGACCTTCGGCAAAATTTCTCGTCGATGGGCCACAGGCTCCGCCGATTGCAAAGGCGACTGGTAGGAACTGCAACCGCTTAGTGAGGCTCGAGTTGTTTTCTGTTCTTTCTGCATTCGGCTTCTTTAGCTGCAGCGCCAGCGGCTATCGCGGAGAGGAAAAGGTTAGAGGCGGCGAACGTACTGGCGTATGTGACATCCCATAGCAGGCTCTCACCGCAGGCAAACGGGAATATGGTCACCCCATCGGGCCCTTTACCATCCCCCTGGTCGTTGGCGGTGGGTTTCAGGTTAGATGGGATGGAATGGGATTCCTGCAGCCCGTATCACGCGCTTAATCACGTCATTGAGCGCCGTGCTGCCTCAGCAGTCGTCGGGCACTCAAACGACGTGTCAGCGCGTGACACCCCTTACTGTCCGCCTCTCAGCCGCATCTTCATTTATACGGTAGACATAAGTCAGCACCTATGAGGAGGGCAATCATAATCCGCAGCAATCCCACGAGGGCAATCATAATCCGTTCTGTTTCAGGTGTGTTCCGGGTTTGCCATGTGGTGTGGCGTGGAGCTCAACACCGCTTTCTTGAGCCGCGACGCCCCGTCATCTAGCTTGATCGGTTTGATTTGCACAGCTCAGCGTGCTGTGCTTCAGCCTCAGACATCTTGCAATACAATAAAGACCACGCACACGTATATCGCCAGGAACCCCGGTGCAGCAGCGTCTCCATTCGACGCCTCTGTCCAGCGCCCAGTCGAAGCCGATCGAAACGACGGGCTACCTCCAGCCTCGTCGCATTGTGTCAAGGACACAACTTTTATTGTCGCCACTTAGGTCCGTCCGGCATCGTGAACATGTTGATGAGTGCGTAAGCCCACTCCGGTTGATCAGTGGGCAGCATGTGTCCTGCGTTCCGCACCATGACTTCGTGCAGGTTGTCTGCCACACGGACGTATCCGGCGATCTCGTTGTCTACCCGCCAGATGAGCCGCTCGGCGTTCTTGTACTGCTCCGCCCCGTGCCACTTGGCCGTGGCCAGCCACTGCTCCGTCAGCGTGTAGGCGATGATGACGTCCAGCTGGCCGTTGTAGATCATCACGCGGTAGCCGCCGTCCAGGACGCCCTCGACCATCGACTTCGACGAGTTCATGATGTCGTTCAGCAGGTGGTCCTCCACGGGCTGTCCGTCGTTGTAGGGCCGGTCACCGACGTGGATGGCCTCCCGCGTGGACGGCAGGTTTAGAAAGTCGTTGTAGGGGTTGGTGCTCGGGTCGTTCGGGTCGATTGGGAAGAGGTAGTTGAAGTAGTTGACGAAGCCCGTGACGTTGTGGTAGTAGGTCGGGTACGGCGTCTTGTCTCCGTTAACGACCACGTCCCAAGCCTAAAACAAAGCTGCTGCTTTACACGGATGAAATACGAATTACAGTGACTTTGGTTGTTAATAACATCACCATCTGAAGGATTATTAGCAAGCATTTGATGGCGAGTGCATACCCATCTATATAAGGACTTGTACCACGATTATATCAGGGAAATGAATTTGCACATACACTTTTTTGTCAGATATGGGTACATAAAATGTATATATAATATTACATCGATATGATATATAGCATAATATATAAAGTACATGAAATAGAAGATAATGTGACATGTATATTTGCATCAATGGTGTATATATATATATATATATATATATATATATATATATGCGTGTGCGTGTGTGTGTGTATATGTTTCCTGTCATTGTCACGTATGTTTTCTATAGATACATAAGTTCTGCTTATTGCATTGTCCTACGCCTACATACGTTGAAAGCTCCCATAAAATCTCCCTGGGTTATCAGCTGGGCAGTCTCCTCCGCCTTCTGGGTGAAGAACTCCTTTTGATTAGCGTCCACCAGGCCAATCGAGTAGAGGAGGTCGCCGTAGTTCAGCATGTTTATCGGGTCGACTAGTCCGTCCCCGATGGCCATGCCTGCGGGTTGGCATCGTATCTGTTACATGCTGTGGCATCCTTCATCACGAAAGGATTCAAAGAGACGAGAAACGCGACCGACATGGGCTAGTCCGACATTAAAGTCCTGGAAACTGTTGGTGAATGCGGCTGAGCACTTGAGTACTCTCTTGAGATGACGACGCTTTGTCATGCGAACCATTCCGTGAAAGGTTGGGGAACTCAATATCTGTTTCATCACAGTGGCTCGCAGAAGCAATTGAAAGGAACCTTGCGGTTACTAACCCTTCATGTTTATTTTCAGGTCGGCCTTCGGGTTCTCCTGGTGAATCTTGTACGAAATGGCCGGCACGTACTTCCCTGGAGCAGATGTTGTTTTGCCTGACTGTCTGTAACGCTGTTTGACCAAGATAGCGATGGGAACACTCGAGGTCTGTATCTGCCTGGGAATTCCATCCACCACGCTGCTCTACAGCAGTTGGGGGCAAGCAATAGACTAACGAACACGCTTGCGAACAGATAGCAAAACTCGACAGAGAAAAATGAGCTTTTGAGCTTACTTTGAACAATTGTTGTTGGTTCAACTTAGGAAGGTTTCTGTTCCAATGTCCGACGTCTGTTTTAGGCGCGGTGTTGGTGGAAATGACAAAAGTAAGGGCAGGGGCCATTGCCTGGGCAGGGGCCATTGCCATTGCAATGGCAGGGGCCATTGTCTGTCACCGCGAGTGAAAACCTCGCCCGTCTGATGGCGGGACATTTAATGACCTGCATAGGATTCTCCAGTAACGTAGAAGTCGTTCGTCTGGAAGCGCTCGAAAATGGTGAAGAACTGGACCAGTCCGGAATACAGGTCCCTGGCCACGTCATCTTGGTTCTTGGCGTAGCCTTCGTCATCGTCAGTGAAACTGAAACCTGTCGGACAAAAGTCATTTTGTGAAGTGCGTCGCGACGCGTGGGACCAGAAAAAAGGTTTCCTATCACACCTAGTGGGGTGAACAGGTTTTCACATGCCAAAAATATCAGAACTTAAAGAAATAGCTGTAACTTTTTCTTTGTGAGCTTACGCGCGGGGATACCTCGGATTTCACCTCTATCTCATATTTGCAAGATGTGGGGATAGACATAGTCAGCAGCTATCCCCTCTCTGGGCTACTTCTAGGGAAGTGGTTAAGCTGCCGTCTGGGAAACCAGAGGCACGGGGCTAGACTGCTCGCGGTGCCCGCCGTGTCTCCTTCGGTGAGAGGCAGGTCCAATGTAATGCCCTCTCTGCCCGTGGTCTTGATTATCGTAAGCTGGACCGACGCGCGCTCGTCCCCGTTCGCACCAATCGGCGGCCCTCTGGAGCGGGGCGGAGGGCGAAGAGCGGAGGCCATATCTCGACGCTAACCGCCATGACAGTCGCAGACGCACCCGTGCCGACGGGGTTGTCAATGTAGAGCACGTTGTGCGTGTTGACCCAGGTCAGGTTGCGGGGCACCAGGTTCAGGTCGGCGTCGATGCTGTAGGGGCCGTTCTCCACGAACATGGCGTACAGGCTGGAGGCGCCGGGCCCGCCCTGAAGCCACAGCAGCACCGGTGCCGAGTCGGCGTTTTCCTGAGGACAGACGGCAGGCGAGAATGGTCACAGGCTGGGCGATCGGTCGAAGGGGGCGGGGTAAAGGGAAAGGGAGGTTGACGCCGGTCGACACCTGGACGCACACACAACCGACGGCGATGGTGACGGACCATCGTTTCAAAGGGCCAAAGTTTCCACCGGAGAAGATCAGACCTTGTACGATGAAGAGCTGACTAGCGAGCTGGGGAGCAGCAACGGACTACGTTATGAACGACGGATACGCATTCACGCATACCTTGGCTTCAATGAACCAGAAGAAGAGGTTTGAGTTGTGTTCCTTGTTCACGGTCAGGTATCCAGAGTGGCTCTCATAGGCGTATCCACTGATGCCAACCACCTGAAACAGGCGGAGTTAGAGGCGATCGCGCGCTGCAGTCGCACACGTTGCGTGCATTCGCGAAAAATAATGGATGTTGCACTCATTCAAACGCATTGATGTCAAGAATGCGTACGCTCCACTCTCGTCCCCTAACAGACACCGGACATAGTGAGCCCAGCCTTCCAACGTACATATGCCTCTACTGAATGTTATAAAAGTTGCGATAAAGAACGTGAACGCATATGGAGTTTGTAGGACACCAAAGCTCATCAAAAGGTCGCTATAAAAACGCAAACCCTTTTTCAAGGGGATTTTATGAGCATATGTTAACCCTTCCACTACATACACGGGAACCATCTCGACCACAGCCGGCGTGCCGTCGCAAACCCGTGCCTGGGCGTGGCGCGGACCGACCTTGCTGAGATTCCTGGCCTTCTCCAGCTCGCCCGACTCGATGAGCGGTGTGAGGAAGAGCGGCCCGTCACCAGCGGCCGCGGGCGGCGCCCGGCGTCCCCCGTCCGTCGGGTACCGTCTGCCTAGCGGCGACCGCAGGCCCCAGGCCGGCAGCGCCGACAGCAGCAGCAACAGCACCAGCATCGCTCCGCCTGCAGGCTGTGACGCGAAGGGGGACGCAGGGATGAGAGTGTGGTGCCGCGCCCTGGGTTTAATCGGCGCAAGCGGCCGCATACAGCGAGCAGGGGCGATGGCGCAAGCAGATGACAGCTTTCCGTGCTGACAGCTTTTCGGTCGTCCTGTGCTGAGCGAAGTAAGCGTATCAAACGACAGCAGCCTTTCCCACCGCCAGCTTTGGTGCTGCGCTGAATGCAGAGTGATGGAACAAGGTCAACTGCGTCGGGTGAGGGGCGGTGGTATCCCCAAAACGGCTGGAAAATGTGATACATAAGCACTGCGTGATGCCGCATGCCGAAGAGAGAAGAGAGATGAAACAAGTTCTGTCAGCTCTTTCTCCCTTCGATTTCTATACGTTTATTGCCAGACGGAAAATATTGCGTTTCAATTCGTGATCAAATGAACAGAATCGGTTTTCCGTGTTCGCCTGGCACCGTGCCAACTCTGACCGGATTGAGATGTTTGTGTCAACGGATCTCTGGTCACGTGCCGATGCGAACTTCAGGTAACATGTGCGAGCTAGCTGCACGCTGCCTCGTACTACCGTCTCTTATCTGAAGCAACTTCTATTTGGATGTGCCACTCAGACGTTCTGGGATCCACTGGCGTAAACAGCTCAACAATTCGATTTTGCTCATCTGTCACATGTCGAGATGTTGGCCCACATCGTGTCAGCCAGCACCTTAGGCTAAGACAGTAATAGTGTCTGGTACCTCCATGAAGGCCAGCAGAGGCCTGCAAAATTACACAGACATGGCTTCTTGTGATTTTGTTTAATTTACGAGCTGTGCGCTAAAAAGCGAGTCGGGCGACCGTGAACATTTAATAAATGCAACGCGCAACAAATACCCGAACTGGGGAAAGCATTCATAGAGAATATTGGAAAACATCTTAATTCAATAAATGCATGGTATATATCATATATATATATATATATATATATATATATATAAATTTGGAAGACATCATTTCGTACGGAGAGCACAAGTGAAGCATGGCTAATTGGAGTAAGACGGAATCCTTTTTTCACTTTGATCATGCAAAATACACTCATAATGGGAACACTACAAAGACATTAACATGTTGCTACAATCACAGCAATAGTGCTCAACGTCCACCACATAATAATTCAAGGGTTGTACAAGAAGATGTTTGTCTGTTAACGGCTGGAGAGAGTTCGGTAATGAATACATTTACCCAAATTTGAAGGCGTCTTCTGTCATTGCACGTTTCCAAAACATAAGTGTTGTCTGTCAGTTGTTGTGTCAATGTCCTGTCGTGTTCGTGTCGCATGTGACCCAGAGCTACCTCGTCACGTAAGTGCATTATCAGGCGTCGTGAGAGTGCCGTTGTGGCCACACCAATGTAGTGTATGGAACGAAGTTTGCAGCATTGATATATATATATATATATATATATATATATATATATATTACTTGAATATATGATACTTATATATATATATACATATATAGTGCAACATTGATCTATCATAATATTTATATATATATATATATATATATATATATATATATATATATATATTATATATATATGTGTGTGTGTGTGTGTGTGTGTGTTTATTCATTAATGCATTAATAAATGCAACGTTAGCAGCTTAAACCCGGGGCCGAGCGAAACTGAACAAAAAGACTGTCAACCGCGCAAAACAAAAACGCTTTATCAAGGGTCCGTTATGCTGTGAGCTATTTTATCTAGCGATTTTTGGAGACATTTTGCTACGCTGTTTTACTTCGCCAGCGTCACATGCAACATACTTGCCAGATTGGTTCAGAGTTAGCGGCCTTGTGTCGCGGCCGGAGTTGCAGTCCCTACCTGTCCTGGAACGACGATGATCACCACTGCTGCCCAGCCCGGCCCCTGCGACACGCCAGGGCACGCAATATATGCTATCACGTGTAACCCAAAGCAGCTGTTCGGAACAGGTGGCTGCGTCCCATCGCATCGGCGGGTCCGTCAATAGAGGACGGAGCGGGCTTCCGGCGCAAGTGGGCCACGGTGCTCTCACGTGGCCTGCACGCAGACCTCAGCAGCTGCTCACGCCCGGTGCAACTCGTCGAAGGAGATAGCTCCTCTCAACGGCGGGCGTTAAGACATAAAGACATAAAGGTATCATGCCAACAAAAAGACACAAGGGCCCATCGAGGATGGCCTAATTCAGGTTCTGTGCACATCCTCGAAACTAATGTTATCACCCGACCTGCATAAATTCAGTTATAAATGAGACCTTTAGATCGATAGAAATTGTCCAAACGGTATTTGAGTGTTGCTAGAGAGGAACTTTAGAGAGATGTAAAGATATCATGCCAACAAAAAGACACAAGGGCCCATCGAGGTTGGCCTAACGTCAGGATCCGTGCACATCCTCGAAACTAATGTTATCACCCGACCTGCATAAATTCAGTTATAAATGAGACCTTTAGATCGATAGAAATTGTCCAAATGGTATTTGAGGGTTGCTAGAGAGGAACTTTCCATAACTTTGTTTGTCAGCCCATTCCATTGGTTCACAACTCTTGGACTAAACATTTGTCTCTTCGTAGTTCTACTGCCACCTCTTGCTACATAAAGCTGGTTTCCTCCATGTCTTGGCCAAATTGCTAGTGCTCCAAGGTACATTTGCGTTGTGTTTCCTCTTTATAATCTTGTATACCTTTATCAAATTTTCTTTCAGGCTACGATATTTCAGTGAATACGAGCCCAAGGCCTCAACCCTATTCTCACATTCGAAGTCGGCAATCCCATTCATCATTCTAGTTGCCTTTCGCTGTACTCTTTCCAGTCTATCTTTATATTTTTGGAAGCATTGGGACCACGCCTGCACACAATACTATAGGTGTGGCCTGACATAAGCTAAGTACACCCTTTTGGCAACATTCCAACTGTTGTAATGAAAATTCCTGTTGATAAGTCCCAGCATCCAAACTGCCGTGCTCCTAGCAGCCCCACCTTGTTTTTCGTTCTTAAAAACCATATAGATGATAACCCCCGAGTCATTTCTTCCGCGATCTGGTCTAGCTCCCGGCCTCCCATTTTATAGCTAATGCCCTCACTGCAAAAACTACCCAAATGTGTCACATTACACTATCAATTGAGCGACATCTGCCACGGAGAAACCCAGTTCACCATCTTATTGAAGTCAAGTTGAATTTGTTTCACCTGATCGGTATTTTTCGACATGCCTGCCAATTTCATGTCTTAAGCAAATTTTAGCACCTCACTCCCTGACCCCATCTCAACATTATTCACAAAAATAAAGAGAGAAAAGGGCCCAATCCTGACCCCTGTGGAACCTCGCTCTCTACTAGCTCCCACTGAGATTTTGTACCAAAGCTTCGGTTTGAACGAGAACATATGTCGGATCTGTTATGGAATTGCTAGCTTTAACTCAGTATTTGTGGGCTTATGACTGGGCAAACATTGACTGACCATTACCATTGTTTGTAGTCTCAAAATATATGTACGAGCTGCGTTTTTAAACGTTTCTCTTCTTGAAGGATGGATGTTGTTTCGTGCATTATTGTTCTGTTCTTTGTGATAGGAATCGAAAATTGCCGGCCCCCTTCCGTTTCGTTTCCGAAAGTCGCGAGTTAGTCAAATTTTTCCACCGTGGTTAACCACTATCGCCTATTGTTGGTCAAATTTTTTCACCGTAGTTAACTACTACTCGCCTATTGCGTTTCAACCAAAGGAGATCTCCTGTCTCACATCATGCTTTACGTCGGTGCAAAAAAAAAATGACAAAAACGCCTTCATCAACAGCCTAAAATGGCGAGTTATCATCCTGTTAAAAATATGTTTCGCTTATAGTTTAACAAAACTCTGCCGACTGCGAGTCGTTGCACACCACCCAACAACTTCGTGGAGACGGAAAGGGGATCCAAAGCTTGCAGCCTGCACAGTAGGCCGCCGAGGACGTGAAAAGGCCCGAGGACGTGCCGGGGGTCTTGGCTCGTGTTCTCAAAACTACAGCCATAAGTCACACAGATATCAGTTAGACGGAAGGATTTCATGCTGTTTGGGTTCATCGCCACGGGCGGTCACTGCCCGTAGTTTGAAGGCTCTCAATGATGCAGTGCTCGAAAAAAATCATGGGAAAATGACAGGGCAGTGCGACCACCGATGACAGCACGGGTTCCCGTGTGGTAGTCAGCGCCCGGTAGCCACGCTCTTATCGCAATCAGCCGCGGGTGGCCGACGGCCGTCGACACCAAGGCCGATGGCTTCTGCGTCGTGGTGGGTTTTCCGTGCTCTCTGGCTTGTCACGGCAGGCTGCGATGGCAGGTTTTCAAAAGGTTAAAAATGTGCACAAACTTTTTACATTTGGGCGGACACGTCGCCTTGGGTTTGGACGGAAACCAGTGGCTCCCGACATTTTGAACTGCTTGAGGTCACTGGCTTTTTTGGAGCAGCACGACGAGAGATTATCTGCCGGTTGAAAACACCAGGTTTGTCCTAGTGTTTCTCTATTTCCTCAGGGCACAAACATTTTTGGCATTAAAAGCTACATCCTACATTCCGTAAACCCATGCTTGGCATGTAAGCTGCCATGTATACCTGAGATCAGGGACCTAGGGACCCGTCAGAAATATTCAGTCATGGTCGATTACCTCATGGCATTCTCTATGAGCGCCCGTTGAAGCGCTGATTGAATTACACACGCACGCGTCTGCGTGCGCTCCATGGCCAAACGCCGCTCAAGGTACCACGAGGGTGACCGGTGCTTTGTATGACGCTGAAATCACGGGGCGGCGGTGACGGTCAGACCAAATATTCCGCGCGAGTTTCGAACCTCGAGGCATCACCACACGATGCCGTCACGTGCCCTGCGCGGACTCATGCCTCGGAGATGCCATCTGTCCTGCGCCTGCGCGGAACCCGATCAGCTGACGTACAGCCACAGACTATCTACTGCAAATGAGGAATAGAAAGAGCCGATCATGGGAGGGTTGGGCAGCAAATTCTCATATTTCAGATCGGCGATTTCCTCACCAGATTTTTGTCTTCGATTCTCTGTCGGATGAAGGTGACTCAAAGCACGGAAGAAAGGTTGCCATTTAAAGTACGCGATGTTCCTGATGAAGTGCCGTATCACAGATAAAGGAGGCGTCGTACGGTGATCAGTATCCCACCGCTGCGGTTATAGCCTCTTCCTATTAAGCACCTCGCCAACAAAGTCTCCCGGCTCCGACTAGCCTGCCTTAAACCTACCAACCGCCATATGAAGTGGCAATTTATCCCTTCCACCACTGCGGGCTGCCAGGCAATTCAATACAATCGCAGCGCCACCTACAATATGTCGTGCGCTGGTAGCGCCACGCCTGGCGGGATCACAAACCAAACATAGTTTGACAAACGACGAGGGGTATGGAACGACCAACGCAGCCACCGAAATACTGTTTCATCGTTTTCCCCTAGGTTCCCGACGAAGTTAGCAAAGCAGCAACACCAGAACTCATGGATGGCATTATTTCGTCAACATTGATCCTGAAGCTCCTACAGTGCAGGTTTCGGACCACACCCCCCAACCGATGACGCTCAAATAATACAGACCATCTTCTACGCAGCAGCATTATATTTCAACACGCATACCGTAACAGCATATTGCTCAACCTAGCTCAATCACTCTAATCTTTAAAACAGATATCACCTCCTGCCATGAGTCAAGCAGACCACAATGAAAGCTCCGCACGCCGCTGGATTCCGCCGCCACCTCGCGCATTCGCACCCGCGACACGCTAGCCACCACCTGCACCCGCACCAGCGCGCGCAGACGCCGCCCGCACCCGCACTAGCGCGCGCCGCTACCGCAGCAGGCGGACCGCGCGCAGCAGCCGGAGCGGAGCCACCAGGCCGGCCAGGCCCAGCAAGCGGAAGTTGTGGCCGTACCACTGCAGGTTGTAGCGGCGATGCTTCTCCCGGTTGCGCTCCATGAACTCGCGGTAGAAGTCGGCCATCTGGTCGTCGGTGACGGCTTCCGCGCCCGGCCTCGTACGAAGCTCGACGAAACGACGCCGCTCCTGCGGCCGGGGCGGGCGGCGTCAGCGGCGGGAGGCCCGGTGACATTGCGCTACATCGTGACACGTGGGGGGGGGGGGGTCGGATGAAGTTGCCGGATGGATTGAGGTGTTTTTGATTGCTTGTTTTGTGGATGTATGTTTGCTGGCTTTCCATGATGACACGATTAGGAAACCATGAACCACATGGGAGGAAAGCAGCCTGTGACAGGATACATGGCAACTGAAACAGCCTAAATGATCATGTGATGATTTGTAATTCATTGTTCAGGGTGTGCCAACTGAGTGGCTGTTCTTGAGCCTCTTTGCAACTGTGACTGCAATGTGATTACAGGCATGATTGCTTTATACTCTTCTCAAGTTTACAAGAATTTGAAATATGTTCCACAGTCCAGTCAAGTCACATGCACTCTCTGCATGACAGATTGGGATGATCCATTGCGGTCAATAACTGGAGTAACAGGACTCAAACAGGGCAAATCAATTATAACAAAGGTGATTCTGAGAAATGGCCCATGCGCCCACTTTGCATCTCATGATCCTACATGGCTATCAGATCCATTCTGGGACCATTGTGCTGATGAATCATTCTGTAAAAAATGAAGTGATAACATGTCCTGTTTACAGTTACAGTTACCAGTGGAGCTTGCCAGCTTTGGTTCTAATAATACTCACTTGTTTGAAGGCCTTGTTGTGCTTTTTCCAGTAGAGATGATTCCACGCCAGAACGCTAGCTTGTTTCTCCCTCAGAATTTTCTCCAAGGCTGTCTCATTGGTGGGAATGTGCTGTCTAATGGGCCTGATTTTGGACACAGAGTCTGGTGGCCCAACCCAGTCTTCACATATCTCATTGGGCAGAAATGGTGATTCTGGTTGCTTAGGTTCTTTCATAGTGGCCTGTTAACAGCAAGCCAGTGAGACAAAGAAAAGCTAGCAGTACACCATGATAAAAAGGAGTAAGCTTGTATCGATGCTTTCACTCTTGGTGGAGGCAATCACCACCTTTGCCAACTCTGCCAATCAAAGTGCGGCATTGTCTGATATAAAAAAATGTTTTAAGAAAGCTCTCAGTATTTGGTCTTGCAATTTAAACAGCAGGTTTGGCTATCAGTTAATCAACCAATGGTAAACTCAAGTCAATTTCCTGTAATGTAGTAATATATATGTAATATATATGTAATAAGGTCTGGGCCCATATTTTGGTAATGTTAAGAAAATCTGAATGCTATTTTAAGGCTTGTTCACTTTTAGTCATAGCTTTTTTCTTCTCATGAGTGTATTGTCTAAGGCCATGAGTGCTCTGTTAGTATCACAGGGTGTTGCAGTATGGAGGGGGAATGCCTCTACACTGTACAATAGCTCACACCTCCTGTGGTGTAATTTGGCCTATATACCACATATTTTTAAATTTTGGTATGGGGGATTAATTGTAAAATCACCTATAAGCCAAGTCAATTAAAGCATCTATAAATTGATAATAAATTAAATTGATATATTTGTGATGCAGAGGTGAAGCCAGAAGTAGTAGATGGCATCACAAAAAAACTATTAAATCACCAGTAAAATAGCTTCAAAACAACATGACCATTCATTGGATGAACCGCCACTCGACAGTATACACTACAACCATTATTGACGTTTAATAGGCCGAGCTTTGTCTAAGAAGACCGAAAACGCGACGCTTTCTAACATACGCGGTGCAAGCCAAGGCGAATACAAGCTATGGCAAACCACGCACTGACAAACCTAACACATGTTAAGATTATTGGATTATCCTGCCAAACAAAGAACTAATATGAATCGGAACAACACAGACATATCCTGCGAAAAAAATACATCAGTACCCCAATGCTATGGGTTGAAATAGAGACGAAACAGACATGCGCCTCCAACGCCACTCGGCCATCCTAGTAATTGTCATATGTGCGCCAACTCAGCTGAGATATGGCAGCTAACGTTGCACGGAGAAAAGTTTCGCCACCAACCGCGTTATGCTATTTCACAATTGATCCTGAATGGGTTGCCCTCCACGGCCTTTTTTAACATTTGCGCTCATGCATCCAGATACACCCAGACCAGCATGTGATGCGGGCTCAGCCGAGACATCACTGCAGGCGACAACCGGTGAGATATGGTGCCGGTGGAAGGCGCCCGTCGCGCCTGAGCGGCTCGGTCCCGGATCTGACCCGGACAACTGAGCCGCGGTCAGACTGAGACGGCCACCGCGGACACGTACCCGCCGAGCGGCGAGAAAGCGACTCTCGGCCGTGGTCACGAGCGGCCATCCGGGTCTCCCCCGTCCGGCGACGAAGTGCAGGCATGCTCATGGGCGTCACTGTGTGATGAAGGCTTCATGACTCGTGGCTCCTGTGTATTTCATAATCAATATGATATACAATTTACGGCGTCTCGGCACGCAGCTAATCTTATTGACGTAACCTACCGTTGCATGTTTGAAATGACTTACTCACGATACGGATTCGCTATAGCCATGTAATGGAAGGATATGAGGCGAAATGCATACGTGCAGACATATCACTGGTCGCTGAGACCCTGACCGCTAACGTTTTGGGAAAGCCGGGTTTTTGTGTTGTTCTTTGCTATATCAGCTGGCATCGTCCTGACTAAGACCCCAGTGATCTGTACGGTGTGGTCACACTGCTTGACGTGCTGTGATGTGGACATTCGTCCGGAACGTCAGTATCGATAGTTAGAGGTGTTTATCGCCGCGGAACGAGTGGCGTGCAGTAGCCCATCAGACGAACTATTTAGCGCCGTATAGCTGGACCGATCGGCACTGCAGGCCCTGACCCTGATTGGATGCCTGCGGTTGCGTAAGAAAATGCATGGCTATTGAGCTCTGCTGCCGAGATTGGCGCGTGCGCTGCGGCATTGAGGTCTCCCAAGAATGACGAGGGCCAGCATTCTATCTGTCGCATGCACCACGCGTTTTCACATGTTTTGAGTACGCGAGTAACTCCGCATTCTCTGCTTTCAAAAAGCAGGCAGGCACAAACATGTTAAAGGTGTCCGAATGGAGCAAGCAATGAAGCCAGATTTCCACCAGCGCTTTACGAATGCGCTTTCTCACAGCATGTGATATCATAGAAGACTCGATGCCACGTAACTCTCGGCATGTTCTGCCGAACAGAAAGGAGGAGCTTGAAGCGAAATTGGTGATATCGAAAAAAACATGCCCGTTTACCGCAAGGACCTTTCATCGTTTAAACCAGCAACGCTGAATGGTGGATAATGTATGTTACTCGCAGTGATCTGTTGTGGGTATCTCCTCCCCCCAGCTGTGAAGGACAGTATGACGATGCCGCCTCGCAAGTACATGACACTGTTGATGAGTAAGTTGGCCGTCAAAAGATCAAAGCGTTTATTAACAAATTTGTCCGACTGATCAGGGGTTCTTAACCAAGCCTGCGAACAAAAAGCGGTATGAATCCTTTGGGCACCAGCATTCAAACCTATTCTATGCATCGATAAATGTTAGCTTGCCCGTCCGCCCATTCATTCAAACGTCAAATAAACAGGGCGTCTAAAGTGCACAGTAATAAACAGGGCGTCTAAAGTGCATAGTCACAAAACGTCTCACGTAGTCTACATAGCCGCACGAGTTTTGGGTACGGGCTTTGGGCTTGAAGAGGTCGCCGCTTAATAATGTACTCGATGTCGGTGTGAAAAATGACTGTATTTACTGTTTTTACACCCCGAGACGTGCTGCTGCTTTGTCCGACGGCCGCTCTTTGTCGTAGCATTGCCGTCATCTGCCCAAGTCGGTAACATCAGAAGCTGCCAAGTCACCTGGCGTATGTACACACAACGAAACACTGACGACGCTTGGCACAGTTCCGCCCGGCTCGCGGCTGTCACCGCATCTCACACGTCGAGGAGCGGCGCGGAGTCAGCGCGGACTCCTACCGGCTGAATTGGAAAGACGCCACGTCATGTGGCGAAGCAGCACGGGACCCAATGCCAGAACCCTAAGGCATCAGACGCAGACCGCCGCTGATTGTCCGGCTAGCAGTTGAGCTGAAGCGTGGACAACTGGGGCCATAAGCATCAGCGCGTACGCCGCTGATTGCCGGTACAGTTGAAATGAAGCACTGGACCAATTGCGGACCCTAGGCATCAGCGCGACGCCGCTGATTGCCGGTACAGTTGAACTGAAGCACTGGACCAACTGCAGACCCTAAGCATCAGCGCGACGCCGCTGATTGCCGGTACAGTTGAAATGAAACACTGGACCAACTGCAGACCCTAAGCATCAACGCAACGCCACTGATTGCCGGTACAGTTGAACTGAAGCACTGAACCAACTGCAGACCATGCGCAGCAGCGCGGCGCTGCGATTGCCGGTACAGTTGAAATGAAACACTGGACCAACTGCAGACCCTAAGCATCAGCGCGACGCCGCTGATTGCCGGTACAGTTGAACCAAAGCACTGGACCAATTGCGGACTCTAAGCATCAGCGCGACGCCGCTGATTGCCGGTACAGTTGAAATGAAGCACTGGACCAATTGCGGACCCTAGGCATCAGCGCGACGCCGCTGATTGCCGGTACAGTTGAACTGAAGCGCTGATTGAACTGAAGCACTGAACCAACTGCAGACCATGCGCAGCAGCGCGGCGCTGCGATTGCCGGTGCAGTTGAACTGAATGGCAGACGCCAGCTGACTACAGTTTGAGGTCATGATTCGGGGTCAATTCGGGGTCACGTATCGGCCACTTGCGGCCGAGCCTACTTCGCCTCGCGCCGACGAGAGGAACGTAGAGTAATATACTATTGGGCCCGACCGTACCCAGACTTCCTTCTCGCCCGCTCGTGGTGCGATGTGGCAATTGTGTGTGCTCGCGGCAGAGTGGGATGCGTCTCCACGATAAAGATTGAATGCTGGGTCTCGCAGTCACACATTCTGCGGATGGAGAGGGATGATGCAGCTTATATGTTGGCCCCAATATAAACTTTGAGAAAAAATGCGGCTGGGTTCGATTGTTCTGGTTATGCTGTACTCTAGCTGTGCTCAAACTCTTCGGCGGACGGTGCTCTTCTGGGCTCGATGAGACATGAAGCGCGTGGTGCTTGGCTGGAGTCTACATGCCTTTTGCAGCCTTGCCCATGACAACGACGCTCTCCAAAGTGTGCTTACGTGCAATCGCATTCGGGCATTTTTCGGGACTCGCCAGCGGTGTTCCCGGTCGGATGGTAAGCTTCACACCCTCCCGCACAAGCCGTGGTCTCATTAGCAGGCACGCTCAGCACACACAGGTAGCCAAGCAGAGCGGAACGTTTCTTCTTTTTGTGACTGCTGGGCGTACACAACGGCCGAGACTATGAAATGGAAAGGGTGAAAAGATAGGGATGGGGAAAATAGAACTATATCCACCTTATCAATAAGCAACTTCTTAAACAACTGGACTGGTCATAAGCATAAGCACGTGACGTCAAAGACTTAAATAAACCACAAAATTGTCGATCATCTCGTGACAAGACCCAGTAGCATGTAACACTTTATAGTCATTAGTATCGGGGCGACAGACAGAAATGAACGCTTTAATTAATACAAACGTCCGACTTCACTACAGCGCGCACATGCAAAAAACGCGCAAGCATAGCATGTACGCATACCGCGCGCACGAAAACAAACATGCCGGCGGCCAAACACGGACGCCCACCGCCGGCGGCTAAACACGGACGCCCAACGCCGGCGGCCAAACACAGACGCACACCACACCGCCGGCGGTGCACCGGTCATTGTTCCGGTTCTTCGCTGTGTCGGCCTTGGCGCCACTTTCCCCGCCGCCCGTCCGTCAGCGCGCGGCGTCCGCCCATACGGCTCGACCGAGACGGTAGCCGCCGGCGTGTGGCGTGTCACGCCGGCACGACCGTGCCGCACGCGGCGTGACCGCCCGGCGAAAGTGGCCGGCCGGCAGCGACGTTGCGGGAAGCCAGAGCGGCGAGGAGCTCGACAAGGACACGTGAGGTGCATGCTGAATCCCTGCAATATTGCAACCTGTCGGTGCACGGCAGGGGACCGATACCGTTGCTCGTAAATAGGAGGCATACCATCCAATTAGCTCGTAAAGCTGAGTGCATTTTCTCACAGCGTAAGGGCTGCGTCAAATGCAATCACGCGCCACAGCAGGCACTGCGTAGCGTGGATGTTGACCCCAGGAATTATCCAATCAAAAGATTCAGACTAAATCACAAACAAAAGCACTACCTGACTTCCGCCCGGTTCAGGTCAACCTGGATGGGGAATTTATTTATTTATTTTATTTTTTAGGAACGAGGAGAAGGAATATATTTGGCGAAATATGAACGAGAGCATTGATCAATTACGGGCGAATACCATGCCTTACATTCTGGCATGTCTGGCATCACCTCTCCGCACCTCACCTCACCGCAGCTCGCCTCCCCGCAGCTCACCTTACCGCATCTCACCTCACTGCATCTCACCTCACCGCATCTCACCTCACCACATCTCACCTCACCGCATCTCACCTCACCGCATCTCACCTCACCGCATCTCACCTCACCGCATCTCACCTCACCGCGTCTCACCTCACCGCATCTCACCTTACCGCACCTCCTCTTCTTGTATTGTTGCATCTCCACATACTTTTCTGCTGTGCGTAAAATATGTGTCGGATTTTCAAAGGGTCCACACGCTCCGCATGTTTTGATCGCTGCGTCTGACCAACGCATGTGGCATCTGCAGATGTACATCTGCGATGTACCCGCACATCTGCAGGTACATGTACTTCCACGTACGTCTGCATGCCTGAATCGTGATGTTCTTTCATTGCATACACCACTTCCGCAGCCATTTACGGCGCATAATTCTCATACATGGCTATGACATAAAGTCTGTGCTCTGTTATTTGA